ACAGATTCATTCCTAGAAACTAGTCAATTATAAACGTTCACGGGGTAATCAACTAAAATTAAAGTTCAGGAGGGAAACTGACCAATTATAAAAGTTCAGAGGATAATCAGCTAAGATTAAAGTTCATGAGGAAATTGGCAAGTTCTTACAAGTTCAAGGGAAAAATCGACGAATTCCTTATGTTATAAATACAAAGTTAGTAGCCACTTAGTACTACGGTCTAGTGGTATTCCTTTTCACTTGTAAGTGAGATGTCTTATGTTCGATTCTCACCAAAGGCGAATTCGAACCACATTATTGCTAGCTCATTGTGAGACTAAGCCTACTTCCTCCCCTTAGTGTAGATAATATAGTTTGTTAAATACAAAGTTAGTATGTGTATGTTAATTTTAATACATCTGACAATAGCAATTTTAATACATCTTACAATAGCAAGAGACATTTATGACTACATAACCAGTCAACTGACAGATGGAGAAAATTTATAGTCCTCCTTTTCTTCTTGTATCCATTCCCCTTGCTATGTTGCAGTTGGGTTTTTCCATTCCTTTCTTATTCTCCTATTTATGTCAGGAAATCATTTTCCTTTTGCTTTATTGCCTATAGAAAATTCTAGGTGAAAACTAAAAGTAAGCTTATGTTAATGAGAAATTTTTCGTATGAGCAGTTCTAACAAAGGATGAGACTATCGTGGATTTGGATGAACCAAAATATAAGTTTTATGCTTCTGTGAGATTTGTCGTGCATATAATCAACTTAATAAGGCTAACCTACTAAAAACTTTATCCTATTTGAGATGGTCATGCTTTTATCATAAAGTAGATTAATTAGATCATCTCCAAAGGAGATGTCAAATTTTAAATCTAAAATTTAAATTTGAAGGCTTAGGTGGCACTTGGCATGTTTTAAACTTTTGCTCTTCAACCGATATGTCAAATTTTAAACATAAAATAATAATTCATATGTATTTTCTTTGCATTGGGAATGAAAATAAACAAAACGATAATGCTTTAAACCAATAAAAAATTAATAAAAAGCATTTAATAATTAATTAAAAAAATCTGAAGGTGTTGTCAAATTTGGCAACAAGGAGGAGAGATGTCAATCCATGTCATGCCACATCAGATTTGGCTTCTTGGTTGGGAAACATTAATACTGTCTTTTGTTACCGTTATTGCTGATTTGGACATTTTGACATCTCCTTTGGAGATGCTCTTAGTAATCAATAAATAGAACTCCAAGTTTCTTTTGGAAAGCTTAAGTTTCTTTCTTCTTTCTTCTTCTAACATGCATACCCAACACCTCTGACATTTACACAATCGACTGATATGTACATAACTATTGGTTAGTAATACTTGTTTCAACTTGAAGAAAGTTGAAGTTCTACCATAAAACTAATTAATAATATGGGGAGTAGCCTAATTACTTATAACATGCATGCTTTTTTCTTTGATGTTGAATTCGTGCTCTCAACACAATTTTGTTAAAGGAGTTTTCAAGTTCAATTCCCCTCTTCCTCGAGATTAGGGACAAAGGAAAATAAACCTTATATAAACGGACAATGTACTCACCCGCCAAATACAATCCACATCCAACCCAGCTCAGAACTAAATAAATTCAAACAAATAAATAAAGAAGTCCAGCATGTTGTAAAATCAACGGTGGTGCAGTGGAATAAATAAACAAGACACAAAGTTTACGAGGTTCTTCTACAGTCAGTGTGACTGGAGTACGTCTTCAGGGCAGCAGTGGTGCTTTCATTATAATTTGGAATGATAGGAGTACAAAGATAACTCTCTCTATTCTCTCATCTCTTCTTCCTCTCTTTTCTTTCTTCCTTTTCTTTCCTCTCTCTCCCCCGTGAACTTATCCCTTTGGTGTTGTGTGGGATTTGTATTTATATAGAAAATATGAGTCATAGGAAGCAAGCTTCGGCAGACAGTGGAAGGGCAACTTGCCCATTATTTAATTATTTGAGTAGACATTCACTGTTCTTCTGGAATGATATTTTCTCATCGTTCTTCTGGAACGATGTTATTTTCTCCCCCTCACGGCGAGAAAATTGTCTTATCAAAATGACGGTCCGCAAACCACGCGGTAAACATATCCCCAGTCAAGGTTCTAAATATTGAATGATAGATGGTGTTCAACATCAATGCCCAATCTGCGATGATGCCTCATTTCAGTACGTTGTGGCAATGCAATAAGCACAAAGATAACACAATCAAAAACTCGTAAATGTGTAATGTTTGGCTAGTAGCCAAACACGAGTTGTGCTGAGAAGTATTGATGGTTGATAATAGGTCTTAATCGAACTAATAATGCATCATGTAAAATGACATGGCTCCATGTATAAAACTAGCAATTTTGTTTTCATGAGCAGAGCACGGGTAATCAATTTCATCTGGTTAATAAATGATTCTGCTAAACCATTTTGAGTATGAACATGAGGAACTTCTAGTCCTCATTTAATAGTTTATGGACTGAGACTCTTATGGCCTTTATTGCAATTAAGTTATGGCACTCCGGCTCTTCAAACTTAAGGTACTCATCAAGGAACTTCATGTCTTGATCTTGAGAATCAAGGGACTTCATGCCCGATCTTTTTGTATGATGGAAATTCGGGTCCAATCATTTTATATGATGAGGATCAAGAAACTACAGGTTTTGATCTGATCAAGGAACTTCGGGTCCTTGTTATACTCATCGTAACAAAAGAAGTACAATAAGTAAATTAAAGCAACAAGCGGTAATTTCAGTCATAGTAAATAAATTGCATTTAAGTAAATGAAGTTTGTGACAACAGCTTTAATTCAGCACCATTCACATAAATCAAAACTTAAAGCAGTAGGCGGTAAAACCGTCTGTAATAAATAATTGTTTTAAAGTAAACAGAACTTGTGAAAATATTTTAAGCCAATATCATTCATATAAATAAATATATATATTTTTCTTCTTTCTTTTCAGATGGTGCAACACCATCCAAAAGCCTTTACTTTTTTTAAATTTTTTAATTTTTTTAATTTTTTTTCATTCACATGCTGCACCATTCCAAAAAACATTTGCCCTTTTTTTTTCATTTATTTGTTTTCTTTCTTGGTTTCCTCATGGTGCCTGATGCACCATCATTTTTCCTTTTATTTTATTATTTTGTCTTATGCTTTTTCAAAAGGTGTTGATGCACCATTCCATTACTTTTGCCCCTTTTTCTTTGTAAAACCCCACATACTGTTACTTCTTCTATGGGATAGGCTAGTTAAGGAATACCATTTCCCACCCCCTTGTTTTCTTCGTTTTTCCTTGCATAGCCCAGAGAACACGGCATCGTGAAGCAAGAACCTCCCTATAGGGACATAGATGACAACGAAGTTGATGGAGGCACAAGAGAGAGAGGCATGTGTGGAGTCAGTCATGCCATCACCATCTCAGACAACCGAGTATTCATGGGAGTTCTCGAGATTCGTCGAAAACGATGCGATCTGGGTTTCCAAGTCTGATGAGATTCTTCTGAATCTCTAGAAACCAGTTGTCAGGTACAAGTTTTCTTATCTCGTGACGACTACAGGTTGTTGTAAATTTCAATTCTCACCGGAATTCGATGGGGCGCTTCTGGCGCGGTGGGAGAGACAAAAAATGGACATACCTTTGCTTGTTTTGCTGCACCTTTGTTTGTCTGTAAGATCTCTCCATCTCTCGTCCACAAGAGAAAGATGAGATTGCAGGTCTAGCAGGGATAAGGATCATCATATCAACAGTTAGAGTGATAAAAGAAAAAGTGATGAATGAAAGCTTGATAGATTTTTGGGACAAGATGATCTTCCCTGTTTGTCATGTCTGGCTTGCCATCTCTATTATGTGATTTTTCTGGTGCTCCTTCTCAGAGCTAAACTGCTCCTAGTACCGCAAGTTCAACTTGTGTTTATTCGAATTTATGACGTTATACTTTTCACTGACATGAGAGCTTCTCGTCTTGATAACGTGTTGTAAAATCGACGGTGGGTGCAGTGGAATAAATAAGCAAAACACAAAATTTACAAGGTTCCCCTACAGTCAGTGTGACTGGAGTACATCCTTGGGGCAGCAGTGGTACTTTCATTATAATTTGAAATAATAGGAGTACAAAGATAACTCTCCCTATTCTCTTATCTCTTCTTCCTCTCTTTTCTTTCTTCCTTTTCTTTCCTCTCTCTCTCCCATGAACTTATCCCTTTGGTGTTGTGTGGGGTTTGTATTTATATAGAAAATAGGAGTTGTAGGAAGTAAGCTTCGGCAGACAGTGGAAGGGCAACTTGCCCATTATTTAATTATTTGAGTGGACATTCACTGTTCTACAACACATCACAATATATACAGGCATCAAACTGGATCCATGCCAAAACATTACAATTAAGGTTTGCACAGAGTATTTCTTTAATGTTCTTGTTTAGGGCAGCTAGTTGGGACAGGCTATAGTTATTAACAACACATAAATTACAACCAAAGATGAATAATTAATAATTTTACTGTGACAAAGCACTTGTGTTGTAGACAAGAAGAGCACCCCCTGCAAGAATGCCAACTAGGGTAACTGCCCAGATGGACAAGCCAGTAACACCTGCAGTTTCATGCATATTAATTTATATTAATTCACTTTCATAAGCATTACTTAATTACTACATCAGGTCAAGCAAGAAGATAATGCAACTGTGCCTTCTGAATTCTTAAATTTAAGCATATTAAACAATATTCTTATGAAGTTGAAGTTGCTTACCCCCAGCATAGACATCACCACTTGGAGACCAGTCATCTTTGTTGTAGATGGGGCTGCATATCAATTATCAGAAATAACTTAACAACCTAATTAATTTGAAAATTTATTCATTTTGAGAATGCTTAGACCGTTAGAGGGCATCACGCAACTAAAAGGATACTCCTTGTCAAACAAAAATAGAAAATATAAAATAAAAAAAAAGAGCTAGTTTTTTCTAATAGGGAGCTGTTATTGACCATCTAATTAACGTTCCCACAATATTACAAAATCCATATATAATACTCTTTAATACCATAGGTAATATTATGGATGCTTAAAAAACATTGAAATAAGAGATAGGTTATCAAGTCAATCAATGATAATTTTAGCAAATATAATTTAGGTTATCAAGTCAATCAATGATAATTTTAGCAAATATAATTTACACGTTTAAGTTTAACCCTTAAATTGGTAAAAAAAAAAAGGACTCGTATAAAAAATTCAGTACCACGAGAAGTAGATAATCTAAATCCAAAAGTAAACTAACCAGAGCAGTGAGAATATTCACACATATATATGGCACGAATGAAGTTTGAGAGTTGTACCTGTATCCATCAACATTAGCACCGTACTTGTCTACAAACTGGTAGACACCCTTTCCCTGAATAAAAGTTTAAGGGTCCAAAAATTACAAAGCAGATCGATTGAATATGCATGACGCTGATCAAAGAACAAGAAGAAGGAATCTATATATTTCTGCAGATTGAAATGAACATGCATAGATACATATATATAGATTTCTATAGAAGGCATGTAAAGCCCTTAGGTTAGTCCAAGTGCGCATGCGTAGCGAACGAAGGGAGTAATGAGTTAGGATTAGAGTAATAGATCAAAGGTTCAACTTATTAACAAAAACAAAAGAAAAAACTACTCACTAATAAGTATCTCATGCAATCGCTTATATAGTTTATATTGACCTAGTACATGAACGGATGTGAAACACAATTTTAATGATTTTCTTTGTTTGATGTGAAGCACAGTAGTTTCGCTATTACGTATATGGTAACAAAAATGAAAGGTAAGAAAGACCAATTAATTACCTTACCCTTCCTCCCGGAGGCATCGACACCCTCCCTCAAGTCCATGCCGCCATTAATTCCTGCAACACATTTTTATTTTATGTATTATCAAAATCAATCCTAGCTAAGAAAAATGCGCATATATGTAGTTCTATCGAACTTTTTGTTTTTATATTTTAATTGAGATATAGTTCGTTTTCTTCCATGAGATTTGAATTCAGAAAAACTAGATTATCATGCACATAGTGTTACCATAGGGGGTGGCAGTCTTGATCTTCTTGCCGCCACTTGCTTGCACCTTGAATGAAGCAGAAGACCTGGAAAGAGAGGGAAGGCCTCTCACTGCTGACTTGTCAACAGTGAGAGGAGATGGTTTTAGGCTCACTGAAGAAGTCATGACTGAGGCTGCCATTTTTGCTTAAGCTTCTCTTCTCTGGACTCCTGCTGCTTTTTCTGTTGCTGATCGTGTGGTGTGCGGCATCCAAGTCCCTGATAATAATAACACTAACCATGGAGGAGAGAGGACACGTGGCAATGGTTCTGTGGGTGGTTGTGGATATGATATTGCAAAACATTATAAAAAAAATGGGAATATTTTTGCTCTCAATTTTATCCTCTTTGGATATATGCAAATCCAAGACCCCGTTTTGAATCTGACACGTGGACTAGGGCCAAATGGGAAAGAGATTAGTGGTTTGGAACTTTCGGGATTGAACCTAGACGCCTCTTAATTACGGAAAGGGATGTGTTATCCACATATCATATTTTACTTCTCACAGACCTCTTGATAATTTATGTATATTGATCTTCTTCAATTCATCCGATCCGATGATCGAAAATTAAAAAGGTGTGTGAGAAGTAAAATGGGGTGTATGGATATCACACCCCTTACAGAAAAGGATCCTCGTTTACGGGGATCTTAGGATCCAGTGATCTTGACCGTTTATCGTACATTGTATGGTCAAAAAATTTAAAATTAAATATAAATAGTACCTAAAGATTTCTGACCGCACGATGTACGACGTCGATGAACAGTCACAATCACTGGATCCCTAAGATTCCCAGAAAAATGATCTGACGAGGATGTTTTCCCTTAATTACAGTTATACTAATGACATGTTTGCTTTTAGGGAATTGTTATTAGCACTCCAAAAATCTCATTTTATACTCCAAACTTTCTATATTGGGAAAGAAAAATACATTTGTGATGAGTGTAAAATGAGATTTTTGGAGTGTCAATAACATTTCCTTACTTATATATATATATAAAGTCAGAAGGCAAAAACAGTGAAACATTCATAATTTTAAAATTGTTTCTCCCATTAAATTTTCAAATAAAATAAGAAATTCATAAACAAAAAAAATATAGAGCCAATTGACACATGCATATGCGTGTGGCAGCAGGCTAGTTTACATAGAACGTGAATTAAAACCATTTTGACTATTGAGCTGCTTGTGTTTGTTAAAATATGAGGTAGTGAAATCATTTCAATTTATATTTCTCTATATGTGTTTACTAACACATGAAATAATAAAAAATGTGTAATGTTTATCCTTAAAATTCGTAATCTACGATTTTAAAATCAAGAATCAAATCAACTAGAGGAGACTACTTGCTCTAATTCACTTTCTTTACCTCCTCTATACCTAACTACTTTGATTCCTTACTTCCCTATCACGTGTTCTCAATTTCGTGCTACATTTTAGTGGTAATCGAAAATCAAGCGAGAAATTACACTTAAAGAAGTGCAAATGAGTTACCTCCAAATCAAAAAGAAAAATAAAGTAGTGCTACATTGAGCTCAGAACAAAGAACTTAAAATGAAATGGAATTTCTTCATATATGGTTTATAACATCATAATTCATAGTGAATAATGAACAACACATTTGCTTATAAATTTGAGATTATTTTCTTAGTAGAGTCGAACCAAGTTGTTACAGACTTCAGCACTAAGAACCAAATACAGAGGAAAAGAAAGCAAATTACTAGTTAAAATCATAACACTAATGCTAATTATCATAAGCAGCTGAGGATCTCTGTGAGTTTCGACGCAGCAGCTATTCCGCTAGCTATAGCACCTTCAACATTAGGACTAACACAGAAATCTCCACAGATAGCAAGCCTCTTGTTCTTATCCCAAAGGCATTTCTCGTCTCCGGCTACGCTTGCGGCTGGAAAAGCACTTCCCCTACAAACAAAAATCCAATGGTATCACACAGCTTTAAAGCATTGCAGAGTATCAAGAATGAACTCAACTATATATAATTGATTTTAGACTGCATTTTGAGATTACACCTTCACCTAATTATTTCAGATCCCCAAACTAACAAGTATTTTCGTTCCTGGTGTGGACTTTAAAGTTAAACTAATATAACAGAAAGAAAAAAAAAGAGAAATTTATAGAAACTTTGATGCAAAGATTTTTCTAAATCTCTAACTGTGCATTTCACAGATTGGCTTAGGCTTGGACAACATTCAAAGGGATTCTCATTGAGTGAAAAGACAGCTACATTATAAAAGACATATATCTGTGCGATTAAAACCAAGTACAAGAATGCACGAGAGGAAAGATTGTTCAGGCTGATTCAGCCTAAAAATCGAGGTAATTGACCTGGACTGTCTTTTCTGGCTTACTAATATAAGTTTGGTCCCCATACTGAACCGAATGGCCCAAGTTCAAACAGTACTTGTATTGCTGGCCGAAAAAGGTCCTTTTACTTATGTTTGCGATATGATTAGTATTAGACAACTAGCACTAAATATTGAGTTCTAGAATATACTGACCATCTATGAGCTTTCTTGAAAAAGGCGTGTGGAATATTAAGTCCCATGCTTTGAAATTCTTGGAATAGTTCTTCAGCCACTTTTGTCAATGTTGCATTCGAAAGTTTCTGAAGTCCAGTTTGAGCAATTACACTCTGAGCATACTCCATTGTTGAATGCAAAACCCATCGCTCGCTTAAAAAAGAAACAAATAAACGAAAGATGGCAAAATGATAAGGACAACGCCAACACCAAATAAAAAAGACGAGGTGGATTGTTATATTCCATGAATACCTGGAGGTAGAACGGCCAGGCTTGCTGCTGTCACAATGAGCCCAGCTTAAGACTTCAGAACTTTTTATTGAGAAACCTTTGAAGGGTATCTGAGTCATAAATTAGGCACCAGGGTCAGCCCAGATCAACATCAAATACAAGAAAAGAGAGTTCAAACTAAAAATGTGATACAAAAGGTTGCAGGAATACATGAAGCCAAACCTAGCATCCCGAGAAAAAGGAAAAGTTGAACCATGTAGAATTTGATGAATGCAGAGTCTACAGATGACCATATAACTTTAAGGAGACATAATAAATATCTTACCGATGACACAGGCTCTGAAAATGCTATCATGAGAGCAAAGCATGGACGGACAGGAATAGCATTTAACTTAACCGCCAACTCTGGAACTAAATTTAAATCTGCACACATCGCAAATGGTTAGATCCACAATGCTATTATGCTATTCTTCAGAAAACAATGCGGTCAAGTTCCAAGTAACCGGTAAGAAAATAGGAGGCTCTATTCAATGCAATGACACTTTGTAAGCATTCCAACTGTTGTTCAATGTGATGCATCCTACTCAAGTTTCATTTCTTCCATAGCTAGAGTCCAATTGGTCAGAAGAAGGAAGGGATATGTAGTAAAAACAAGTATTTGCTGCTATGTCAGGTTTGTAGTATCCACGTAAATATTAACCAAACAGGACAAGATCGTCAATTTGACCCACCAATAGGACAAAGTATGCATAACATAAACCACTAACACTGACAAGCTCACCAAGAACTGCCACTTAATAAAAGGACTAAATATTGCAGACAATTTTCTAGACATACTTCAAATAAAAAGAACTTGAAGGAGTGTGTTCAATACCAAGAGGTGGCTGTCTTCCTGTAACACTTGTAAACCTGGGCGAAACTAGGTTTTTGTCTGTTGCAACCACTCCCTTAAACTGGCCAAGATTTTGCCCATCTGAACCTATCAATGACCACAAATTTTCATCCTCTAGCCACTCCAATCTCCCAACACTCGCCCCAAACTTACTTTCCACTCCTAAAGAAAATTATAATGCAAAGTAAGCAATTAGGGATAATGGAAGTAGATATTCAACCTTGAATGGAAATCATTCCAACAAAATCAGTAGTTTAGTACATACCGGGCTCTTGGCATAATGCTCTGCATATAGAATTCATGCCTGGCATACCCACATATCTCTTACTTATTAATCCTTCCTAAATGAAATTGATATTCAGATTGGCTGAAATGACATTTCTCAACTATAAAATAGACGAGACAGATGGGACATTTGTTTAACAAAACTCAGCAGAAACAACAATAAGAGATTGAAATTTTTATTATAAGACTA